AATGTAATAACTCGGTCAAAACGCATGTAATGAGCACATTGGAAAATAAAAATTTGACATCTAGAGAACATACTAGTTTGAAATGAAATTGAAATTAGGGTAAGGGTTAATGAACGAGTAAAAGAATCAAAGTACTGAATATACTTCTAGTTGAACTTCTCAACCATTCCAAAAATTCAGTCCATTATTGAAGTGATTATGCTTTGTCTTTTTTTTTTTTCAAAGTAGGCAACGTAATTTTTAACATTAAAGTTCTGCAAATGATGCTTCGTACCGAGTACTGTATTCGTGTATTAGGTGTATTACAAGTACAGAGTACATAGTTATCCCCCCCCCCCCCCCCCCCATCAGGACAAACATGTCATACGTATTCGAGATTCGAGAGACTATATAGGCACTTTACACAGTCTCAACTTTAAACGCCTCTGATACATACATTTTGTAATAGGCAGACCCATGGCACCAGTTTCAAAAGGGGGGGTCCTCTAAAAAAATCTGACAAGCAAAAAAAAAAAAAAAAAGCAAAACTGTCCAAAAAAAAGGGGGGGGCAATTTTCCAAATAAATCTGACAAGCAAAAACAAACAAATAAAACTTAATCAAGTGTCAAAATCCAGGAATTTGCAAGTGCTCGACCTTACAGCGAACAAAAAGTGTGTGTATGGGGGGGGGGGGGGGGAGAATCTAAGGGAAAATTTACTATTGCAAAATACTTTACTCAGAAAAAGAATAAGACACTGATTTTAGTAGAAGAGTAAAATAGATAAATCTTTTGTTTAACGTTTGGCGTTTAACCCGCTCCAATTCAATAGGGAGTGCAAATAGGTTAATTAAAACCTGTAGATTTCAATGTTTACACTAACACTCCTGTTGTGGTCGTTCACTTTACATACAAATTAGATTTTGTTTGTAGACTTGTTAATAAATGAACAACACAACATTATTAATGTTTTTTATATGAGAGTTATTATGACTCGACGAGTCCTATCCTATTTTACTGGGTATGTAACTTCATTTTGATCTTTACCTTATATTTTTGACCCTTAAATTCATGAGCTTTAATCTAGTCACCTAGGGCCTGTTTCTCAAAAAGGCCTTCCATAAGCCCCGGGGCCGTAAAATTTAGACGAGCCCACTTTTTGATCGCAGTCTCATTTTTGCAAGAGGAGATCACTTTTGATTTAATTTTCAAAATGAGACTGAGATCAAAAGTGACCTCATTTAAGTTTCATGGCACAGGAGCCAGTCATAAGCTTATTCCGGACTAAATCGATGACTAAACATGAAAATTGGAATAAGTTGCATTTCACGAGAAAGACGGAGATTTAGGTCCAGACTAAATCTTGGCTTAATTGGCCTGTACACAGACCTAAAAAGTACCAAATATAATATAAAAAATTAAAACAAAATTTATTACATCTGTATATGATAATACCTTTACATATACTCGTACGATATGCGAAAATCTAGCTGCAGATCTGTAGCTCGCTGGTCTGAAAAAAAAGTCGTCCATCCCAATTGTTTTCAGACCGGCGAGCAGGTATACAGAGCAAGATGCCTCTTTCAAAATTGTGAATTTCATGGCCCCTGGTTCAGGGGTTCTGGTGTTAGGGCAGGGCTTTATTGATCACATGTATATAGCAAAAATGCCAATAATATAAATGTAAATTTATTAATATAATTATTTGCAGAACTGTAGCCTTACGGTTTTATATTTTAGTCTTTGGTCATAACGCTACAGATCCCGTAAGGCAAATATGGTGTAAAATTTACTGCTTAATCCATTACCCTAACACCAAAACCCCTGACCCAGGAGGCAATGATATTCAAAAATTTTGGAAGAAGCACCCTTGCTCATCATAACCATGCATTTAGTTTGTTTGCTTAGTACCCAGGAGCAGAGAAGCTTTCAAAGATTTAATGCATTTTCACTGTATATTCAACAGAGCCCCACCCTTACACTAAAACCCCTGACCCAGGGGCTATGACCCATTTTCACCATCTGATCTATACATTTCTGCCTAAACACCAGAACCCCTGACCCAGGGGCCATGAAATTCTCAATTTCGGAGGAGACATTCCTGCTCATTATAAATATGCACTTATTTTGTTTGCTTAATACCAAGGCGCAGAGAAGATTTTCAAAGAAATATATATTTTCACTATATAATCAACGGAACCCACCATAACACCTGAAACCCTGACACAGGGGCCATGAGATGCACAATTTTGGAAAAGATACCCTTCTTCATCATAAGGTATTCTTGCTCATCATAACCATACACTTAGTTTATCTGCTTATTACTCAGGAGCAGAGAAGATTTTCAAAGAATTGATGCATTGTCACTATATAATCAATAGAGCCTTGCCATAACATCAGAAACCCTGACCCAGGCATGCACGGATCTAGAGGGGGTCGGGCGGACCCCCCCCCCCCTGGAATTTTCAGACAGTGTCAGGGGTTCTGGTAAAAAGGGGGTCTGTTTGATTATATTGTGAAATGAATTAATTCTTTGAAGATCTTCTTTACTCCTGGGTATTAAGCAAACAAATTAACTGCATAGGTACACATGTTATAAACAAGGGTGCTTCTTCAAAAATTGTGATTTTCATGGCCCATGGGTGAGGGGTTCTTGCTGGGGGGGGGGGGGGGGGGCTCTATTGGTGTTAAGGTGGGGCTTTATTGATTATATTGTCAAAATGCATCAATTCTTTCAAAATCTTCTTCTCCACTCCTGGGTAATTAGCAGATAAAGCGTCCATACATTGTAGTTGTGATGAGCAAGACTTAGTGTGTTTCTTCCAAAACTGAATTTCGCAAGAGCATGCTCTACGTATGTACAATTTCTAAAACGAGGTAAATTATTGACAAATAAGTTGATGAAACAAGAATATCAGCTGTCTCGTTTAAAGTCATCATTTCGTAAGTTCTATGGTCGATACAATGACCTTGTCAGCAAATACACTTTATCATTGAGTCAAATGCTGACTGACGTTTTTCACACTAATTGTTAGGCCATTATTTACACACTGAATTGTCGACGGATTTTTCCGTTATTTCTCGATCATGACAAGGAGCACACGGCGGGTGTGACCGGTCGGCAGGGGATGCTCACTCCTCCATGGTACCTGATCCCACCTCTGATGTTTGGAGGTCCTTGTTTGCTCTGCTCCTATTTTGTATTGATTATGGACTTTTGAGCTTGAATACTGTTCGTTGTCTCCATATATTTCATTTCATAACCCCTGTGTAAGGGATTCTGGTGTTAGAGTGGGGCTTTGTTGAATGCTTAGTGAAAATGCATTATTTCTCTGAAATGTTTCCGCTCTGTTTCTGTGAATCAAGGATGTAAATGGTATTTTAAGCACATTTGTGAAATTCTTGACCACTTGGTCAAATGTTCTGTCGCTGGGCATGACTCGACTCTGCTTCTACTGAGAGAAGTTATTTTCCTTATGATAATTAATCACTGTTAATACTAGTAATGTAATTGAAAGGTTGACTGAATAAGAGATTTATACAATAATTTTTTTTATAATATATAAAAAGCACTTGTTCAGTAAATGACCAAGAGAGGTCAGAGGGAATGAGATGGGTTTACAAATAATGTTTTTTATCGATTTTTGAACAGAAAACACTACAGTATGCATTATATGTTAATGAAAAGTGGTTGTTTCAATATCAGCAAAGAAACTGAATTTTTACAAAAAATATTTCATGTGCATTGTTCGGTCATAGATATGTTAATTCAGACAGTCGATGCATTATAATATATAACACAAAAAGTACTTTCGTCGATTTTAATGGGCAGGTCAGATGGAGTTGTGAATAATAGATAGCAGAAAAATACCTCTACATGTATATTTTCATTAGCACATCTGTGTATATAAGGCTTTTTGTGAAAATTAAGTTTCTTTTATTTCAAAACACTGCTTTGCTGACATTGAAACAACTTTTTTCACATATAATGCCATTTTCACATCCTTATTTTAAGTCCTTTAAAATCCAAATATTATGGACGAATATTTTTAATTAATAATTTTTTTAATGGACTTATTTCAGTTCTAATTATTAGTTTTTGGGGGAGGGGGTGTTTTTGACATAAAAGCTGCAAGCTGCATCAATTTTAGTTGATGGAGTAATTGCTGGAGATTTATCGTTATCGAAGATATAATTATAGACTATGTTTAAGGAGTTTTATTCATACATTTTCCAAGCAAAATGGGACGTAGCATGGGGATGGAAGGGAGAGAAAGTAATAAAGGAGCATAAAAACTGCCTAAAAAAAAGAGTACTCAAAGTTGTGTGTGTGTGTGTGGGGGGGGGGGGGGGGGTTGACAGCAATAGACTCCGTATTCTTTTTAGAAAAAAGGGGGAGGGTTGCAGCCCCCTCTCCCTCTTCTGCTTACTATAATCCTTGTTACTCCTTAATTATAATTTTCTACCAAATTTTACGTCTTTAAAATTCTGGGTTACATGTCTCTGGTTCACCCACCCTACCCCTTATTAAATATTTTTCATCCTTACTGGATAATATATACATGTACTATATTTCACATATCATACTAGTACATGTAAACATATTATAGGATACCCTATCATAAAGCTTTTCTTTAACTATTCATGATAAAACACTCGTCAGTTTTTAAAGTTTTGTACGAACTAAGAACTTAAGCCTACCTATGAGTAGGCGTAGATTTTTAAAGTCAAGATTTAGTCTCCGTCTAAATCTCCGCCTTTCTGTGAATCACAGTTTGATCCGACTTTCAGGTTTAGTCGCTAATTAAGTTAGGACTAAGCTTACCTTGGTGTACCTTGGTCGTAAGCCTTTTTGAGAAACGGGCCCGTACTAGCTGCTACGAAAATGTGAAAAGTTAACAGACAGATGGACAACGAACAGCTAGACCAGAAAAAGCTTTGTTTCAAGCGAGCTAAAAAGACATCAAGAACTACTACAGGTTGTTTCTTTTATTAGAAAAAAAATTAAATATACAATTGACTATTCCATCACGTAGTTTTACAGACTTCTGGACCGTATCCTTGAGGATACTGTATGACCACATACGGCGGACACTTCGGCACCTGGCAACAACATCCGGGTTGCGGCTCTTCCAGGGAACAAATAGATTTAGGAATGTTCCAGTGGTTCACACACCTACAAAATTGTTGCGGTGGACAACAAATGTATTTTATTTCTACCATATCTTAAAGACATTGTAAGCATCCATGTAACTTGCATTTCATTGCAGAGAGAGAGAGAGAGAGAGAGAGATTTCTTCAAAAAATTCTTATCAATTCATAAAAGGATATATAAAATGTGTTAAATAATCATTTACTTCTTTCACTGGTTTCATGAATAACAACTACCTTGGTATAAAGTGAAAACAAATTTTCAAGTAAATACGGACTTTTAAGGAAGTATATATAGAGAGAGGTATGGGTTCCATTCCCATCATAATTTTTCAGAACAAATGAATGTTTGTATATGATACTTATTAACATTTGATCTTCTTTTGTGTCATTTGATCATCACAAAAAAGTGTCACAAAATGTTCTCGAGTGCACGCCGTTTGTGTGTAGGAGGGGTATATGAACATGTAACATATTGTTTGTATACTTTAATGGTGCAAGTGTAACCATACCAATTTTTCTTCCAAGTTTACAAAAGAACTTTTTCAGTAATGATAGAATAAGGTTATTATCCCTGTTAAAATTAATAGTGTACTTGAATTTACATAACGCAGAAAAAAAAATAAATTAAAAAAAAAAAAATAAAAAAGATATCATCATGTATATCTTGTTTTCAGAATTCAATAAAATCATAACTCATTGTGTATTTTACCAAAATATAGTATAAACATTTTTTTATTCCACATTTCAGAGAATGTAAACATCAGAATTGACCTTAACTTCAAAACAAACTTCATTTGCAGACAGAAGTGTTAATTAATCTCATTTTGACAGAAACAGATAATGCTTTTGGATTTTGTTCAAGAGAAAAGTTAATTAATCCCACGGGACTAGTTGTAGCTTTCACAGTTCACAGTAAGAACATTCTCAGCAGTTATCTCTCTTTGCCCTGGCATTCATTCTAATGCAAAGTTAAGGAATCTACCCCACCACCCCAGCTCCAAACTGGATGAAATAGAGAACCAAAATTAGCTTCAAAATATGTCTTACTGCCTATTCAACCAACATACCAAATTTGAACTTAATTGGTCAACTATGAAAAAAGTTATTAGAAAAAAAACAGAAAATTTGTGGACGGAAGAATGACAGATGGATAGACGGACAGACAGTGATTACTATAGGGTCCCCGCAAATTCTTGCTGGGCCCTAATTACATAAAACTATCATGACATTAGGACTCTTTGTAGTGCAGTGGTTAGAGCTTCCTTTTTTAAAATTACTAGGAATCTCAGACTCACAATTTACAAATCAGCACATGAAGTATAGGTATTATGTTCTAAATTTCTGAATTCAAGAATCTTTATCTGGAAACACTCACTAAAATTTCGATTGGCAAAATACAACAATCTTTTAACTGATGTATTTTAATTTTATTTCATGATTTTAATAACACTTTCAAAATAGTGAACCAGGAAAAATCTTGGAATGTACAATTCACCATTTTTAACTAATAAAAAATGAGCATAATAAAAAACGTTTTGCTCAGTGTTTTTTTTCAATCAAACAACAAAAAAACCCATCAAAAACAGTCATAATATTTAACAACACAAGACTAAGTTTCTGGGCCATATCCTGGGGGGTATTGAATCACTACATAGCTCGGACAGTCTGGAGTTTTACAGCACTTCCCAGGAGCAGGATCACGCAGTGTACAAATACTAGGCAAGTTCCAAGTCACACACCTAAAAGCACCCAAAATTTAATTGAAAAGCAAAAGCAAGCAAGCATTACCAGGCTACCCTGATTTTACAATAAAAGGCATGACAAAGCACCATACATAATTATGTATTATTCAGCTTGAAACCCTGAATAAAAACTTAAAATGTAATACATGTGCATGTGCAAAATGTTTTTAAAGCACAGAAAGCGAAAGCTGAACAGGAACAAAAGCTACCTCTTTTCCATTCAAAAGTGAATGAAGCAATTGAGTTTTCTGGGATTCTAGTCTGATATAACTGGCACTTACTTCTGTTTGCAGCTATAGGCACCATTAGCTGAGCATTCACAAGTCAAGTCACAGCCATCATCCCATTTATCTCCCACACTGTAATCTTTTCCTTTATAGTTGCAAGCTGGAAACAACAAAATATAATTTTCTCATTGTTCAAAACATAATGGCAGTGCAAAAATGACTGTTTTACTGTACAGTAATGACTAGCAATTCTGTTGTCTACATAGAGAACTGACAACAAAAAGTAAATGCTCTGTATAGAAATAAACATGTTCATTTTTAACATATAGTGTGTAATTACATGTACTTTCATTTCAGCCATTAAAGCTGAACAAGACTTGTAAATAAGCATAAGCCATATTAGTTTTCCTATATCCTATATCAGCATTTGGGTATATAAACCCTTTGCATTTGTTACACCTGATTGCTGTGAGTATCAAAGGTATATCTTTATACATTATCCTTTTTGTTTACGGTTTATTTCACTGAACGTGCATTTGTGTTTATTTCACTTTGTAACATTGACCCATGCAATTGATATTGAATACATTTGATAACTTTTTTTTCCTGACATGGCAGAGGCATACAGAAGTCATTTTAGTCACTCCCAAGTATGTCACAATGACAATGAAGGTAACATCCTTTCAGGTGGAGTCTGTGAAGCAAAACACATTGAACTCTGAACAAAGCTGAAGCTTATATAGGGGCTGGAGAAAGAAAGTGTTGAGAAGACTAAAACGGCCAACAAAGATAACACTTATTTTATGAATCGTGTTCAGCTTTAAGCTGAGCTTACACATTCCTATAACTACTTACTTATAAAGCCAGTAAAATTGCAGAAAACTTGTCCACAACAATCCCCAGGCTTCTTCACAACATGACACTGGGCAGGGAGGCCTTGATATACTGGACATCTGAAATTACCCATCATTCATTACCCAAGCTGTGTTTTTGTTAAAATTGACTCTAAGCTAAGAGAGGTAACTCTAGTGTTAATTTCTTAATAAAATATTGATGCCTGCTGTTTATCCGTTATTAGCCTGCTGTTTATCCGTTATTAGCCTGCTGTTTATCCGTTATTAGCTGTTTGTACCTTGGTACACATTGTGGCATTCCTGACTGATCGCTTGGACAGGTACAGTTAAGGTCACAGCCATCCACCCAGCTGTCTCCCTTCTGGTGTAATGTGCCCTTGTAGAGACACCCTGAAGCTGTAATAGGATGAGATTGTAATAAAAAGGAACTCTGTTGTAGCCTTCATTACAGAGTTATCAGAATGTTACACTGGTAACAACCAGTCATCATTACATGCTTTATAAAATGTGTTTAAATACGTACGCTGTGGTAATGGTGTGGTAGTTGTGCCATTGCTACCTGTATAAATTTAAAGTCATTTCAGTTTGAGAAACAAAATCCACTAGTTAAAAATTAAATGAAAAAAAAAAATTAAAAATATGATAACTATATAATGGTCTTTGTTTTACTCACATGTGCTGTGTCCCTGTATAGCAAACACATCTCCCAAACCCTTTTGTGCTACAAAAAAAGCAATGTTTATAAATATACATGTAGTACTCTTCACTGTAAGTAGGATTCCCCCCCCCCTACTTCATTTGATTTGCATCACTTTGTTTAGGTACTGTCATCTTGGCAACTACAAATGAAAACGAAAATAAGAAAGAATTTGAGTTTACAGAAAGTTTATACCAATAACGTGTCTTCAATGGAAAAAATATTTTTTCAGTTGGTACATGTATAACAATGAATTACAGATGAAGTGAAGCTATTTTAGCCCATTCTTTGCTAGAACTATGTTTTACTGCAGTCTCGGGTATCTGCTATAATCCTGTTTGATAATAATACATTAAGATAGAGAGAGATTGAATGCTGGTTAGTAAAACACTTACCTGATCCCCAGTTCACGGCAGAGTTGGTCATGGAGTAGAAGAATGCAGGTTTCTGCAGACCTTTCTCATAGAAGCAGTTTGAAGTAGGAGAAGTCACCATAATCCAGCCTGTTGTTGAACACTGCTGAGAGGACTGCGTCACAGAAAACTGCAGACCTGTTGACGGGTCTCTGTCAACATAATGTAAATTCATTCTAACTCATCTCTTAGTCAGAATGTTTTTTTATGTTTAACATTTTACTATACACACAGAAATATTTGGAATTTTTGTTGGAGGTAAAACACTGAATCCCTACTGTTGCATTCCAATGAATTGTTTGGGTATGGCTTTAATGTCTCCCCATGAGGAGTCGATGATCCTGTCAGATGTAAACCAGTTCAACTTGTCTGAATTTCTAGCATCAAAAACAATAAACGCCTTCTCCACTCCATGCTTGTATATGGACACCTTGATCTGAAAATACAATAATGAGTATTATCAAAAAAGATGCATTACATATTTCTGAAAATACATGTCTATTAAAAGTAACAAAAGTTGAGTGCTCAGTCTACTTTTTCCCTGGAATTTAAACCCCAAAATATACAATGTTTGTAAACATTGCTTCTCAACTCCCAACTCCCCAAGTACTTCAACAGAAGTGGGTGAGTTGTCCCACCTGGATTTTCTCTGCAAAGTCCCCATTTGCATGTATAGTACATGTACCTTTAATTTTACTGTAATTTTTTTTTATTTAAGAATCCACGTTTTAAATGTGATGAGTCATGTACATTATTGAATATTTGATTGGAATAAAGATTTTACTATAGTCTAGCTGATTTTACATGGCATTCTGTAATAAGGTAATAACACATACAGTAATTTACACACACAATGTCATTTTGTTTCGTTTCTTTCTTTCTTGACATAAGGGACAAAACATTCCTTTATAATTTTCAAAGAGGAAGGGATACTTTTTCTTAAAACCAAAATTCATGAAATGAATGTTTGAACACTTTCCTGAAACAAAAATTTGAAAATTTTTGATTTCCATTTTTTTTTTCTATTATAATGCTTTGGTTTTCTGCCAATTTTTCTCCATCTTCATGTTTTCCAAGGTCTCCTTTGACAATAAGTATCAGTATTGGCCAGATTATTGTTTTTCATTTGGGTAAATTTACAGTTGGTGCCATCTGAAAACTAATTAAGAATAGAAACCAAACCATATTTTTTAAATCATGAACCTGAAGTACATATGTATTTGATGAGCTCAACTGTGGTCATTTTATATTTATTGCATAACATTCAGTGTGTACAAGGTTTTCAAATGGGACAACTTGAAAAATATAGCAGAATGACACAAGATGTGCAATCCAGATTCATTTCTATTGCTATACCTCATCAGCAAGTCCTTTGCGTATAGAGTGCTCGTGATACAGATATATGTATGTATGTTCTGACGAAATGTACATTTTGTATTTGGTAAATTAAAATGTATCATGATACAGAAATTTTGATTTGCATATTAACATAATTGTTATGGCTGATAAGTTTTTAATACATTTTAAAACTATGGGGGAATAAAAATCTGCTGTAAGTGGGAATTTATTATAAGTGTGCCCACTGTAACCTTGTACTGTAGATCATAACACAAACCTTGTCCAAGCAGAGAGAGTTCCACTTGTTGGATGCGTCTGGTTTGTAGGGTTTATTTGGGAACAGGTTAGCAGCAGTAGGGTCCAGAGGATTGATGGTCTGTCCACCAGCCCACAACTGGAATAGGTCACCGGGTATTCCTGCCACACCCTTAAATAACAGCTGCCAGCCACTGGGTGGGGCTAAATGAAGAACATTCTTATTTCAATATTACATCTACATACACAAACCTTGTTAAGAAAGATACACACAACAGCCTGTTGTTTTACTTTCATAAAATAATAATAATTAGCACACACCATAGGCAACAAATATTTGAAAAAAGTGCTCTTAACAAACATCTACGATACAAAATAAACTCATTTTTCTCTGGGATTTACTTAATACATATACATAGAAAACTCTGATACATTTATCATTATTTGATAATATAAAGCTCCACATATACATGGACATAAAGACAAAGAAAACTCCAATACCTGTAATTGTTGCAGGTGTTGTGGCCACTGAAAATAAAGCATTCAACATAAAAAATGTTCTTGAATCAATTGTGAAACTGAATTTTAAAAATGAATCAAAATACAAAATTGAACCCAAGTTCTGCATTCATTGTCAAATGGGTAAATAGAAAACATATTTTCTAACCAGTACAAACTCCGCATGACTTAGCACATCGTTGTCTGACAGATGCGAACTGTGAACAGAAATTGTTAGCGACAGCAGTTTGACACAGGGTAGCTGAATCTGTATCCACACAAGGTTTAGAAGTTGTTGCTGCAGAATAAATCAATTCAACGTGGTGTTAAAATAAACATGTTCATAATTATTATTTCAACAATACCCTTATCTAAAAATTAGTTCAATGCAAACTGTCACTCTAAGATCATCAGATCCACAATGAACTACTACATGTTTCTTACTTGACCCTTGGCAGAGCTGGTTAAAGTTGGGACAATTTTGTTGAGCCCAAGGTTGGAAGGCCAGGCTATTACACAAACTCTTGTCATTACATTGTGGTGGTGGAGTGGTCACAGTTGAGTGATCTGTAATGTTAATATTTACCAATTTACCATTTACCAAGTGTAAATTAATGTCATCTCTATTGTCTTATATCAGGTTGCAAGAATGAGAAGAGGAGACAGACAGGCTGGAAGAGAGATACTTACGACACATGTTACAGAAAGCTGGACAGTTCCTCTGTGCCCAGTCTTTGAATGTGCCTGTACAGGCTGAGTGACCATATGAAGCACAATCTGAAATGAGATCCTGACAGCCTGCCACCGTGTTGTGACTTCCATGTGGCGGTGGTGTTGTGGTCACTGAGTTGGATGCATTACACCTGACCTGTTTACAGCACTGTCCAGTGACAGACTCCAGGTGACAATATAGAGGCAGCGCTGTATATGTAGGGCACCTGTTAAAACAAACTGTACTTACAAATCTCTGTTTCTACACAAAACTTCAGCTCATTCATACTGTGAAATCACTCATTTTCGTGGGGGTTAAATTTTCATTGTTTTAGAGGTATGAAGAGACACACAAATTCATGTCCACAAGGAAAAGTAATTTTTCAAATATTACTACTCAATAGTTCTTCTTCCAAGAAATCAAATCTTTACAAACCCATTTTTTTTCCTCAAACCACAAAAAATTTGAACCCACTAAAATATGTGACTTTACAGTATAAAAACTTGCACTGAATTCAGATATTAAACCTATTAGTTTATGAGTTGAGGTGCAATTGTCATTAAAGTGAAGGCAGCACAGACACCCTGTCCCTTCCTTTATTACTTTATTAAGCCTTACTTGGAGGTACAGGTGTAGAGACCTGCACTGTCTTTACACGTACAGCTGAAATCACATCCGTCATCCCATTTCTGGTTCACCTGATAAGCAACACCTTTGTATACACAGCCAGCTGAAACAGAGGAAACAAAATCATCACTGGCAATGTCTAAATGGTCATTTCTGACTTGGTAAAGATTTGTGTGTAATAACCTATGTGGTTCTTGTGTTATTTGTGCCAAATTGAGGAGCATACACATACAGCTTAACTGCAGAAGATATGCATCTATGATCAGAAGCATTATAAACATAAGAATATGTAAGCATATTCTGTATTTCTAGGGAATTCTTTAACATACTAGACTGAAGTTATAGGAAAAATTTGGTAAATCCAAAAAATTACAGATCCCCCCACCCCCTAAAAATTGTTGATTTTGTTTTTGTATGAAATCTGACTAACTAGAGGTTCCTGTCTGTCCACCAGATGGAGGTTGATAGTTTGGTCGGAATCCTGAATAGCCTGGCTGGTAGGTCCCTATCACAGGGAACTGACTGGGTTTGTTTGGATCAACACTGATGATCTGGCCATTACTGCTAGGACACTTAATGGTTTCACAGCAATCACCATTCACACCAGTAGGCTGAATACTGAAGCAGTTGGCTTTCTGGATATCAGTGTAAGTTGGACATCTGAAAGATCACCAGAAAAAAATTTTACTGGACTATCAGGCTTTCTACACAAAACTTGTCTAAAAGATGATTGTATAAGACTGTAGAAACATACTTGGATTTGCATTCAAAGTATCCTGTGCGTCCATCTTTACATTCACAGGAGAATTTACAATCCTGGTTCCATTTCTCGCCTTGGTTGTAAACCTTATTCTGGAATATACACTGAGCTGCAATATATAAAACAAGATATTCAATACATTACAATACCAAACATCCACAACATCAGCACCTACTCCCACCTCTCCAATGGTCAGTGTTTTTGTCCTGTTCACAATTTGTGAAGTTCATAGGATTTGCAAGCATGATCTAACTTCATTTCATCTAAAATTCAAATTTCTCATCATGGCTCAGAGTTTACGATGAAGCTAACTTACAGGTGACTTGTGGGACTTGTGAAGAGCTGATGGGATATCCTGATCCCGGGAACACAGTGACAGAGGAGGGAGTAGTGATTTGGATGGTAGGATTTGGTGGAGGCATTGAGGCGGGGGGCTTTCCTGGGGCTGGAGTGGGGTTCAGCTGAGGGATAGGATTGTATGTTCCATATCCTGGAACATCACAAGTCAGAGACTGACAGCACTGTCCAGGGACATTGACAAGTTTACAGTAGCTGGGGAGAGTCGCAGGGAAGTGTGGACATCTGGAATAAAAATTCTAATGATAATTCTCTTCTTATAAAAAAAAAATACTAAAATAAAATTCAGTATCAAGGCATTTTGGAAAATTAATGCGTCTGATCAAGTGGGAAAAATTAGCCTAAAATAAATCAAAGTTTATGATGCATCAGACATGAAACAAAATCCTGCAAAAAGTTAACCCCCCCCCCCCCCTTGATGTCTTAAACAAAAATCAAATATGCTATAATTAAAGGTGATTTCTACATTTTACAGATTGTTGACTGCATCAAAATTAATTATGGCATATTTCCTTCAGTTTAAAAAAAAAATGCAATTTTAAAATAGGAATGACTATAGAAATACCATATGATATTTGTACTGTACTGAGATCTACATGAATTGTTTCCTAAAGTTTTGCCAAAATATAATCTGAAACAAAAGAGTTCAAGGCTTTTTTGCCTCATGTAATTTCTCAGAGTTGAACAGATAATATACAAGTAAATATTTTTCCTGTCTGCATTGCTATTCAGTTGACACAAAAAGCTTACTTGGATGTGCAGCGATACAGTCCAGTATTGGCATTCTCACATGTACAGACATATTTACAACCATCATCCCAAGACTGACCCTGGTTGTAGATCTTTCCATTATAAATACACACATCTATAATCATAGAGACATTAAAGGTCTGAATAACATAAAGAACCATTAACACCTCGTTATTAATACTTCAATTCTTCAACATTAGTGAAGGGAACAAACTTACGTCGGCCTCCAAATGTTGGGGGATTGAATGTCCCAGGCTGCCAGCCAGTGCCGGTGAAACTACTGTGCGTTCCCACTGGGAAGATGTTCAGCCCATTAGGAGAGGGTGTAACAGGACCATCAATGAACGGTGTGTATGACCCACAGTCTGGCTTCTCACAGCACTTGTCGTTAGGGTCAGGTTGGAGAGTACAGACGGAGGGGAGACCAGAGTAAGCCTGGCATCTGTTTCAATAGAAAGAATGTTGAACCAAATGTGGTACAAGCCGTATTATTTTTTATAAGACACAGGCTGTATTTATCAGACCACAGGCAGATGAGGTTTAAATTTTCATGATTACAGACCTGGCATTGCACTTGTATTTATTGGAGGCTGGATCTTCACAGGTGCAGACATAATCACAACCCACATTCCAAGTAGCTCCCTTAGCATACAAACTGTTGTCCACATACAGACATTTGTCTGAAATACAAATTACCATTTATAGTTTATATCATTTCAGTAAAAAATAACATTTCTCAACTCTATTAAAAATACATCTGAAAAAGTACATGAAATAAATTGATTCTTTACTTTGCTATATCTGTATTTTGTTAAATCTGTATAACGAATTCCATAAAGTATACATAGCAAATTCGCAATATAGATATTTTCATTTAAGTAACTACCAAATGTATTTCAGGGAGTATAAAATACAATATTTACCTTTGGGTTCAAAAGTTTTCGAATAATTGAGTTTCAAATATAAATACTTACAACATTAATGGCAGTTCAATATTTTAAAAATTGAAAATTTGCCATAAAAATGTATGAAAATTTCATTATTTTTAACTTCTACGGAACACAAAATCAGTTCGCTATATCCATAAATTTGCTATATCCAAGTTCGTATATCCATAAAATTTTACAGGGAATTGTAAAGGATTTCTCCAGGGATTGCAAAAAACTTTGCTATATCCATAAATTCCCTGTATCCTTGTTTGTACTAAACAAGTTTTACTGTAGCCAAGTAATTTCATAGAAATAAAAGATTAAAACAAGGAAAGTTCAGGTAAATATTATCTCCTTTCTGTGATTATAAATTTTCCTAAATTACCCATGGGTTTGATGGTTGAGATTGACATGACAGTGGTAGCTGTGGTGGTGGGTGCTGTTGGTGGTACTGGGGTGGTGGCATTGTAGTTAAAGTCACATTTAGCAATGGTACAACAACGGTCATTCGGGTCATACGTCCTGTAGCACTGAGGAGGAAGATTGTAGTACTTCTGGCATCTGAAATATTTACCATGCTTTGTACTCAAATTCATGGGAGAAGTGAGGTATTATAAAGCTAGGACGTGTTTGTTTCAAATAATACGATATATGACAATGTTTACCTATCAGTACACTTGTAAAGTCCCTTTGGAGCATCAATACATTCACAGTTGTAATCACATCCATCAGTCCAAGTGCTTCCCTGGTTATACAGTGCACCCTTGTACACACAGACATCTAAAACAATTGAAAAATGCTATTAGTTACACAGTTAGTTTGGGATCTATTACGGAGTCATCCAGGGTGTGTAATAGAAACCTGTATTAGGTCATGAAGCCCAGTACGACTTTCCACTTCACCTGGCCTTGCCCTAATTTGAATTTCCATTTCCCACCCTGGATGACCCCCTATATAGGTCCCATTAGCTATTATCCTGCTGAAGACCCACCTTTACCAAATTTTTATTTACTGTTTTAGAGTTCAGTAACATATTAAATAAAATATAATTCAAATCTCATTGAACATCATATATCCTCAATATTACATTATCACAGTTGAAGATACAAGCAAAAAATTCAACAAACTGTTTTCCGCTGCCTTTTAATTTGTTTACAATAAGTTCATGTACAACAGAATCTTGCACCTGATGTTTAATACACCCCCTGTTCGGAGTGTGTTATAAAATTTCAAGGCATCACATGAACTGTTTTTAGCCAAATAATATTCTACAAATTTGTCTGAAGTAGGATGAAGGTACTTGCAAAGTGTAAAATGTATACGATTGTACATTAAAAAAAATTTTCTGATAATTTTTAATGAATTCACTTCGAAATAGTGAAACTTCAGTTTATTTTTACATGTAATTGCATGCATTTTTTCTATCTTTCAGATGAATTGTTTTTTTTTACATGTACTTTTAAATCAATTTTGTATTTTTGCACAAAATAATAAATAAACTTCAAGAGTGTCCAGGACACTGAATTGATAAGGGTCTTACTTCGTTTGCCTGTTCCACCAAATCCTACATTAGGGTACTGGTTAGTTCCTGTAAAGGAGCCAGCCACACTTGTGGGTACCACAATCGGAACCTGTGTGGTAGTAATGCCTGGACGTGGTGGGAGGGGTGGTGCAGGGGTGGGGTACCTGTTACAGTCAGGAACCAGACAACAGGCATCCTTAGGATCGGTAACTAGGCGACAGCTGCTAGGCAAGTTGTTGAATGTCTTACACCTAGAAGATATACATGATCAATAAATACCACACATTTTACATTGTTAATGGTGCAGGTGATTAGACTATGACTGCTATTTCAATTCTACTAACTGCTTACTGGTACTCGTCATTCTATGACATCTGTATACCTTCAATTCTAGCCTTATTTGTCAGTATGTATGCTTCTCCTATGAGAAGTATCTCAATTCTAGCCATATCATATAATGTTGGTGCAAGAAATTTTCAGATGTTCACCATCTCAAATCTCAATTTTAGGCTTATTAGCAGGAATCCTTTCTACAATAGCTATCTAGGTTCTGGACTTACTTGTTGGTACAGGTGATCAGTCCTTTTGATGGCTCCTCACAGCGACATGTTCTATCACATCCATCAGACCAGGATTGGCCTTGTGTGTAGTACACTCCCTTATAGCTACAGAAACCTGTCAACCAATAGAATACAACACTAGCACAACATAGCAATGTATAACAGATTTATACTTGTACTGTAAACCAATTTTTATTCGCTACAACTGTTACTGGCGATTCGAAACATTGAAATCTATCTGCTATTACTTTTCGTGTCTTATGAAACAATGTACATAAATGTCCATTAGAAAAATTGATTTTGTGGTGAGAAATATTCATGAGTAAAATAAGGTTGCTGAACTGTGGTTATTTTTCGCTTGCAAATAAAAGTTGGTTTACAGTACTCAAGAAATACTGTACAAATTCTTTGACATACTAAAGGTAAATTCCAATAAGTTGTTCTATATATATATACAGAGAAGTAGCCTTTTGATTTTGATCTGTTACCTGTTTCTGGAGCTACGGTGATTGGAGCTGGCTGGCCAGGTTTGGGTGTTGGAGGAACTGCAGAATAAAATTTACATTTTAAATATCTTACAATTTTAAAGAAGACTTGAACATTACCTGCATCCAATATCTTGTAACAAATGAAAGATGCTATGTAATTCTAACTCTTTTGGTTCCCATTTTCACTAATCTACCTTTAATTCATTCAAGATATGATCCCACGCCAGTCAATCACAGGATGTTTGCAATTTCAATTAATTTTTGGCTTCTACTTTGATGATTTGGTAACAGGTAAAAATTGGACTTACATGAACTCATAAAGATATTTTAGGAATGACTCTAATTCTTGGTCAAATTATTCGAGTATAACCTGGTTTGGGTCAGTTTACGCTTTATAATCCGCAAAGCGGATTATAAAACAGCGTAAACTGACCCAAACCAGGTTATAATCGAATAATTTGGCCAAGAATTAGAGTCATTTCTTATAATTTAATTTTAAAATCATTAAATAACTATGGATGTAAAATTTCGTTACTTTTTATAAGTTCAAATTTGCCGCTCAATAATACAACCGTAGTAACGGAAGTAATAGAAGTGATGGGAATCTAGGGGAGGTAAAAACTGATACATAGGCCTAGCAGCCATGTTGGTTGTTTACATGTGGTAAGATCGAATTATTCTTTGAAATTAAAAGTACATTTTTTAAATCTGGAATTTTCCATGAATCCCGAGGACTGGAAATGAGAGGATTGTATGGATACAGATGATTCAGCTGGTTGTCAGGGGGGGGGGTGTCCCCATACCAAACCAGGTTATACAGAAATAATTTGTGTTCCTTTTTAGATATTAACCAATCAGAGGCTAGAATACAAACAAAATTAAATTATAATCATATAATGTATATGTCCTAAATAGTTAACATTTACTTACCTATGCTGTGGAAGTCTAATCTAGACTCTCTGTTTTTCTAGAACATTACATCTAACAATGCCAAATATTTACAAAATTACACTCTTTCTTAAATTTTTTCATAACTTACTGAAAGGTCTGGGAGTAGGTTTGTAAGATTACACTTATTCCTATATTGTCTATTCCTTAACTTCTGATAGGTCTTGGGAGTAGGGCTGTTAGATTAAACTTATCTACTTAATCACTAGCTGATAGGTCTGTGAAAAGGGTTGTTAGATTACACTGATTCCTACATTGTCTATTTTAAATCTTACAGATAGGTCTGGGAGTACAGATGTTAGATTGCACTTACTTCTACATTGTCCATTCCGTAACTTATTTAGAGGTCTGGAAGTAGGGTTGTTACATTACACTTAATCCTACATAGTCTTTTCGGTAACTTACTGATAGGTCTGGGCGTAGGATTCTGTGAGTAGTCACAGTATGGGATCCTGCAGCATTTGTTAAATGGATCAACAATCAGCTGACATTGAGCTGGGAGTCCAACATACTTTGTACACCTGAAGTAAATACAGTTATCAAAGTGTTACAGTCCATAAATATTAATGTATTTGGTTAAAATACTTGGGGCAAAAGATATTTGTTATGGCTTATATCATGTTGTCAGAATTATGCAAAATTAATAATAGTATTTTTAAAAATGTTCTTTAAGTACAGCTGTTCAATAAAGCTTACAATTCTAAATGAACTGGAGGGGTAATACATGTAAACAAAGTATGTAGAGACTTACTTTTCGGTACACTTGTACTGGCCTATCATGCCATTGACACATTCACACGAGTAAGAACAGCCGTCGTCCCACTTCTGTCCTGTGGTATACTGTTTTCCCTTGTAAACACAGCCTAGTAACAAACATACCAGACTTACAGGTCTCACACTGCTTACACATCAGGTTATAATGAAATTCATGATAATATTCCCCATTTTTTTCTTTATCAGTATCACTTTCCTATATAAAGGTTAATGAACAACCCCACTCACCTTTCACAATGTATTCAAATAACATTATTTTCATACATTAAAAAAATGGGGTTTTTTTATCTTCTGTCTCTATACATGTATATACATGAACTGTGTATTTGCATTCTTTGAGATTCACCTACAGACTGATCTACAAGGTAAATTTACCTGGCTGTGGTGGCAGACCTATAAAGAACAGGTATGGATTGTTATATGTGTGCAAAGTGGCATTTAATATAAAATTAGAAGCAATGCCTACAACCATGCAAATGTATGAGACTTATTATAATATACATGTATGTTATGTCACAGAAATAACCATCAAATGTAATGTTTATCCCAAAAATTTATGAAATTAACATCACACAAAAATGTTTAAGGTATGCAGCTTAAAATCAATTTGTATGCCTTCAAGAGACTATGACAAGACTAAACAGAGTACAACTGAATAAGTATCACAGGCAGTATTCTGACAAATAATGACACCTACCTGGTGAGGGGGTGGGGATTTTGCCGATTCCAGTGATAACTCCGGGGGCCACTGTGGTGGGGGGTGTGTTGATTCCTATCAGTGGTGTCACACTTGCCGGTGAACATGAAGGAATCTTACAACAAGATGGATCTGAGGGGTCGGGAACCAGAGAGCAGGACGCTGGAACACTAGTATATACAGCACATCTGTAAAACAAATGAATTCAAGAAAATTAATTTTACGTCATGAGCTTTATTGCCAGACACTGAAAATATAGGGTACAGAATAATTCACTTGTTAATGAAAACAAAATTCAAATAAAAATTCTCTGAAGACAAATAAATAACTAAAGCCAACTATATTAATATTTTACTGAGTTCCACACACCTCTCTTGGCAACGGAACAGATTGGACGTGGAATTCTCACAGCGACACGACAAGTCACATCCGTCATACCACAGCTGTCCTTGCTGATAGAGGCTTCCCTTGTAGGAACAGTATTCTGTAAACAGGTGAAACATACTCACACTACATGTGTATTTCATCTTAAAGTAAAAATTTATTTAATGCTTACAATAAAAGCAGTGTCAATTGAGGCATCATACAGATAGATCCTTACTAGGGTCAATTTCAGAATATGTCCATTTTAATGCAAAAATACTTTTTTTTAACATGATATTAATCAATGTTATATAGGCAGTCACAATTTTTCCACGGAAATTTGTCCCAGTGTACGTAAAGTACATGTAAGGCATATAGTGGAAATCTAAGAAATCTGTGTAATTTTCTACCTGCAGATTAAATAGAAATTGTCATTTTGCAGAATTATGACCCATGGAAAAGTAGTATGTTTAAAGTAATTAGATCTGTAATTGTCTTACTTGGTTGAGATGGTCCAGGGATAGGAGTGGGGGTGGTGCTGCCAGGGAGGGGGGCTGGTGGGGTGGGGGTGGACAGGGGAGTACAATATGGCTTCTCGCAGCAGCGGTCAGCAGGATCCTCCACCAAAGTACAGTAGTTTGGAAGATTGGCGTATCTTGGACATCTGAATGGGATATGGTAAATTGGGTCAAAAATAGTTCTTGGTTTAGTAATAGTTACTTTTAATGTTGATTCAATCCTGTCAAATCTGTGACATTTTTATTTTGCTTAAAAAAAACATTCACAATAAACTCAAGCATTTCATTCTATATGTTACACAATTAAACACACTGGTTCATATTCATCAAAGGTAAATATGTTTAAAATAAAATGTTCTCTCAGTTCCAAAATAATATATACTAAAGTAATGTAGGTATGATGATTTCTGAACAGGTGCTCCCAGTATACTTACTTCTCTGTACATCTGTATTGTCCATTGTATGCATCTACACATTCACAGGAATAGGTACAACCATCATCCCATTTCTGTCCTTGGCTGTAAAACGTGCCTTTGTAAACACAGGAATCTACCAAAAATTTACAGTACCATTAATTAAAACATAATCAAGTTTACAGTATCATTAATTAAAGCATACTTATAGCATACAATGTACTCAAATTTATAGTACCATAAATTAGAACATACTCAAATTTATAGTATCATTAATCAAAACATACTCAAATTTATAGTATCATTAATTAAAAGATACTCAAATTTCAGATATTCCATTTTAGAGTAGTGCATTCGTATTTCTGTGAAAATACTGATCTTGCTGAGAAGACTTACTCCTGTTTCCTGTGACTGAGGTTCCTGTCTGAGGGGACACTATAATGGTTCCTGGGACCCCCGTCACAATGGTGTCGGGATTAGTACTGTTGGGGTTCAGACATTGAGGGACCTGACAACAAGTGTCTTTAGGATCTGTCACCAGAGTACATCCCTTTGATAGAGTCTGATAAGTGGGGCACCTATAAACAGATTAGAATACACCCTTGTCATATCATCTAATAAGTGGGGCACCTGTTAACAATAGAGTCTGATAAGTGGGGCACCTATAAACAGATTAGAATACACCCTTGTCATATCATCTAATAAGTGGGGCACCTGTTAACAACAGAGTCTGATAAGTGGGGCACCTATAAACAGATTAGAACACATGCTTCTCATATCATTTAATAAGTGGGGCACCTGTTAACAAAACAGTGTACACCTTTTAATAAAGTCTAATAACTTGTGAACCTAATGTATCTACATATTATGGAATCAATACAATGTATGAAAATGATGATTGTAGGGCAAAGTTTTAGCTTGATTTTTACATGACAACTGTCCTGACAGCTGATCTGTCTTACCTGTCCTGACAGCTGATTTGTCTTACCTGTCCTGGCAGCTGATTTGTCTTACCTGTCCTGACATTTGATATGTCTTACCTGTCCTGGCAGTTGATTTGTCCACTCTTGGCATCATCACACCTACAGGTCTTGTCACATCCCACACGAAGCACCTGTCCTTGTTTGACTATAACTCCATTGTACAAACAGAACTCTGTAAGGGAATCAAATTAAAAATTGGGAAATTTAAAGATAACAATATACTGTTATTAGAGTAAGTGTAATCATATTTTAACCAATTTTTCCAAAAAAAAATATACACACATCTGCATGGGTGTAGATCATAATAATAAATTGCCTTTCTAAATCTAGCTCTATAATCCACCCTTCTAAATATCACTTTTGAAATGGAAAAAAAAAAAAACAGTTCACCCAGAAACCAGTTACTCCTGTGTCCCTTGAGGAAGAAAGTTTGATTTTGTTAGCATAAATACTGATTACATGTCTGAGGATGGTTGGGGTTGGAACAGAATTCAGTTTCTTAGTAGAAATTCTGATTACATTTCAGTGGAGAAGGGGTTATAGCAGAAATTCCAACTTTTAGTAAAGGGGTGGGGTGGAAGGTTAGGTTTCATAGCAATAATACTGTGTACCTGTTGTTGGAGGGGTGGGGGACATGTTTGGTGCTGGGGTTGGATTCACACAGTTGGGTTTTCTACAGCAAGGCTGGGCTGGATCAATTTCCAAGCGACAAGAAGAAGGCAAGCTAGGATATCTCTTACAACTGGAAAAAAGCATCAAAATAAAACAAATTCATTACTTTAAATAAGGAATCCTCGTATTTAAAGTGACATTAATTAATATTAGTGAATATTTCTCATTTATAATTAAGACTAACTTGTAATATTAATGACAGCAAGAAATTTTTATCACTTTCTTTTTAGTTTTACTACATGTAACACAAAAAATATTCTTTTCAACAACTGCTCTTCAATTATTGTGATTTAAAGAAAACTTCATCACAATTACCAAATTAATCATGCAATACCCCTCCCTCCTCTCTTCTGTCAAATGATCAAGCAAAGTTTAATGAAACCTCTTTTTTGGCCCTTAACTAAATTTAATTCCATATTCATTAAAATTTGGTAATATTAAGTCCTGGGGACCTGTGAATTAGCTTTGCTTTATCCATGAGTTATTGTATCTTTATGATGAATTTCTTAAAGTTTAAAGAAAATTCACAATATACATGTCCTTCTTATGGCTACCAAGTATGTTCAAGGAAGTATTTAATACAAAACTTGCCTTGGAGAAATAAGTATTCTGTTGAATTCAATTTCAATCATAAATACTTTGAGACCTTGAAACATGAGTTATAATAGTTGTTTTTATAACCTCTATGGGACACAAAAATCAATTCACTATAACCCCTAAATTCATTATATCAGAATTCTCTTTATATGTCGCTGTAAAATTTTACAAGAAATCATTTAATATCATTTTGCTGGGAACTCCAAAAAATTGCTATATCTGTTAATGGTTAGACTTGAACATGTTGAATCTGCACTAAATTGGAATGACATCAATTTCTTGACTTATTTAAGCTTTCTTGAGATATTTTTAAAAAAAAATTTGAATTAACATGCTGATAAATTTTGTTAAGAAGACCTCACTTGAGCCCCTGGCTCAGGTGAGCTAATAAGAAAATACTGAATGTAAATAAAATGATCCTGAATTTCGAACACAAGATATAAAAGATTATCTCACATGTCATTACAGGAGTATCTTCCTGTGGTAGCATCCTGACACACACAGTCATATGAGCAGCCATCTCTCCATCTCTGGCCTTGCTGGTAAAGCGATCCCTTGTAGTAACAGGCATCTGAAAAATTTAACAATCAGTACCTCAGAAAGCTTATAGGCTTTGTGATATTGTGGCTCCTTCCCGATACATCACTGAACAGATATATGGATGGATATACAGAGTGATTCCTCTGTTCTCTCGTGTCTGCGGACAAGACAGATTTATAAAAATATATTTCATAAATTATCTACTAGTGTAAAATTATGTAATTTCATTTGGGGAAGGGGGCTCATCTCTGTGAACTGTTGAAATTTCACATTTTCATTGAAAAGCTATTTTGTGGCCTTCCTATTTGGGGGAAAAGAACACAATTTTAATGAAAATTTTTTCAATTTCAGTCTTCTTAGTTGTTGAAAAATAATGGGCAAGAGTTACCCATGAAATTCATGGATAGTGGCCCATGTCCCTTGATAATTATCATGAGGATTTCAAAATACTCAAGTTCATCATGTTGGTTTACAAGAAGCAATGTCCACCCAGTGTTTCATTTTTTTCTGGTGACCAAGATCCTGTTAAAATGAGTTTATTCTTATGATGAATAAGCATTCTGTTACATTAATCTTCATTGTTTCTAACTTTGCTAAATTACTGAAAAAGAATTTCACACTTCACCTTCCATCAACCAGGAGTAATATGCATGAATCATAAGCTTATGGATGGGGGTTGCAATACTTCCTGTTGTCAGTTTTAGGGTTGTGGTGCATTACTTACTGTCATTTGGGGGTTGCGGTGCATTACCTACAGTTGACATTTCGGGTTTGTGGAGCATTACTTACTGTTGACAGTTGAGGGTTGTGGTGCATTACTTACTGTTGACAGTTGAGGGTTTTGGAGCATTACTTACTGTTGACAGTTGAGGGTTGTGGAGCATTACTTACTGTTGACAGTTGAGGGTTGTGGAGCATTACTTACTATTGACAGTTGAGGGTTGTGGAGCATTACTTACTATTGACAGTTGAGGGTTGTGGAGCATTACTTACTGTCATTTGGGGGTTGCGGTGCATTACTTACTGTTGACATTTCGGGTTTGTGGAGCATTACTTACTGTTGACAGTTGAGGGTTGTGGTGCATTACTTACTGTCATTTGGGGGTTGCGGTGCATTACTTACGGTTGACATTTCAGGTTTGTGGAGCATTACTCACTGTTGACAGTTGAGGGTTGTGGTGCATTATTTACTGTTGACAGTTGAGGGTTGTGGAGCATTACTTACTGTTGACAGTTGGGGGTTGCAGTGCATTACTTACTGTTGACAGTTGGGGTTTGTGGTGCATTACTTACTGTTGACAGTTGGGGGTTGTGGTGCATTACTTTCTGTTGACAGTTGGGGGTTGTGGTGCATTACTTACTGTTGACATATAGAGGTTGTGATGCATTACTTACTGTTGACAGTTGAGGGTTGTGGTGCATTACTTACTGTTGACAGTTGGGGGTTGTGGTGCATTACTTACTGTTGACAGTTGGGGGTTGTGGAGCATTACTTACTGTTGACAGTTGGGGGTTGCGGTGCATTACTTACTGTTGACAGTTGAGGGTTGTGGTGCATTACTTACTTTGACAGTTGAGGGTTGTGGTGCATTACTTACTGTTGACATTTTGGGGTTGTGGTGCATTACTTACTGTTGATAGTTGGGGGTTGCGGTGCATTACTTACTGTTGATAGTTGGGGGTTGCGGTGCATTACTTACTGTTGACAGTTGAGGGTTGTGGTGCATTACTTACTGTTGACAGTTGGGGGTTGTGGTGCATTACTTACTGTTGATAGTTGGGGGTTGCGGTGCATTACTTACTGTTGACAGTTGGGGGTTGCGGTGCATTACTTACTGTTGACAGTTGAGGGTTGTGGTGCATTACTTACTGTTGACATTTGGGGGTTGCGGTGCATTACTTACTGTTGACATTTGGGGGTTGTGGTGCATTACTTACTGTTGACAGTTGGGGGTTGTGGTGCATTACTTACTGTTGACAGTTGGGGGTTGCCCACTTCCTGTGATGCTGCCTGTGACACCAGCTGTCACGTTGCCACACTTTGGAGCCTGGCAACAGCTGGGGTCGTTGGGGTCAGCCACCATTACACACGAACTTGGAATGTTATCATATTTAGGACATCTGTTTTAACAGCAAACTTGTTAGTAACATCACATGCACAAAGTGTCGATAGTGTGTTTATAAAAATAAAATGGTACATGGTAAATCTATTAGATACAATTCTCTCCTTAGTTATTCATTTTTTTTCTATGCTTTATTATACAAATTAAATACATATCTAGCCAAACTAGAGGCCAATAAACCATTTGAAGTACTGGATATAAACCCCTTACCTGTCAGTGCAAGTGTAGAGTCCTTTTTTGGCATCATCACAGACACAGTTTTTGTCACATTTATCTGACCATTTCTGTCCTTGAGTATAAGCCTTGCCATTGTAGACACACACATCTATAATACAGAATAGCACCACCGGTATATAGAAAACTGTATAAAGAGGCTTTACATGTACACTACCCAGTGTACTTCCATTTTAGGTTAAAATTTCATTGTCTTTATTTTGTAATGAAGATGTGAATGCACCTAAAAAATCAATGAAGGTGAAATGTTCAACAGGTGAATTGACATTTTAGATAAAGTGCCATATATACATAATGAATACTGTATGGGTGTAATACCTTTGGGTGTGGGTGAAGGTGTTGGACCTAATGGACCAGGTGTGGGTGTACTTGGACAGGTTGGAATCTTACAGCACTGGTCACTGGGGTCAGTGGTCATAAAGCAGGACTGTGGCAGAGCAGCAAATCTTGGACACCTGAAAGAAAAAAAAAAACAATAACTTACACATATGCACAAACTTATGTTTCTGGATTTGTTTTGAAGAAATACATGTTTATTAGATACTTTCAACAACAGTACTTTTTAATCATTCAGTATCTATACAAAAAAAACCCTTCAAGTTTCTAGAAAGACTACATATAAAACTGAGAGACACACCTTTCTGTACAGGTGTAAGCACCTGATGCTTCATCAATACACTGACACTTGTAGCTACAGGCATCTGTCCATGTGTCTCCTTTGTGATATTTCACGCCTTTGTATTCGCAGAAACCTTCAATATACAATAAAACACAGTTATAAGAAGTCACTGGGACCTGTGAAATTACTTTGCTATATCCGTAATTCGATATATCTGTATAAGGAATTCGTTAAATTTATATAGTTGGGGATCCAAGAACACTTTGTTATATCCGTGAATTCACACTATCTGTGTTCATACTAAACGAGTTCTGCTGTACATAATAGCATTGTAACATCATAAAACATTTCACTGGTGAGTGATATATTAAACTGTATGAATTATAATCTGTTGATAGTCTTTTAATATAACTCACCAATGTATTGTCCAATTCCAGTATTGGGGTCAGGTTTAGGTCCAAATCCTGATATAACTCCTGGTGCCAGTGTAGGAACAGGATAAGTAGGACTGGGGGACACTCCTGGAGCGGGGGTGGGCTTGTTGAATGGTGCTGGGGTAGGAACATTGGGACAGTTTGGTATTTCACAGCAAGCATCATTTGGATCTACCTCCATTTTGCATCCATCAGGTAGGTTGTTAAATGAAGGACACCTAGATGAGTCAATACAATATTTTTGCTCTCATTTTGAAGAAAACATAAAAATGTTAATAAACATCATTTTTCATGTACATAAAAAGTTACTGTATTTGATTTATAATGGTGCATTTAGTCACCACACATAATTTTCATGCATGGTCCATACAGTAAATAGTTACATACATGTACATGCATTTTGTAAATATTTTTAAAAGAACTTTATATTTGTGAAAATACAACATTGCACAATTTCACATAAAATTCTCAAAAAGAAAATGCTTTAGATAAAAAGAGTCATCTTCCCTATAAAAGCTATATTGCTTAATTCTAGATCCATCCAGTCTATAGCTTTACTTCTGTTAATAAGACATACAGAGCATCATTTCCATGCTTTTTACAGCGCTAAATATATGTATGTAAGATAGATATATACAAACCTGTCAAAGCAGGAGTAGTAGTTTGTCTGGGCATCATCACATCGACAGGTTTGACTGCAGCCCTTGTTCCAGCTGTCTCCTTGCAAATAGGGTACGCCATTGTACACACAGAAGGCTGCCAAGAAATATAAACAAAACCTTGTAAATAAAGTATGCCATTGTACACAGAGAAGGCTGCCAACAAACATTAACAAAACCTTGTAAATAAGGTATGCCATTGTAGACACAGAAGGCTGCCAACAAACATTAACAAAACCTTGTAAATAGGGTACGCCATTGTACACACGAAGGCTGCCAGGAAATATTAACAAAACCTGTGTAAATAAGCTATGCCATTGTACACATAGAAGACTACCAAGAAGTATTAACAAAACCTTGTAAATAGGGTACGCCATTGTACACACGAAGGCTGCCAGGAAATATTAACAAAACCTGTGTAAATAAGCTATGCCATTGTACACATAGAAGACTGCCAAGAAACATTCACAAAACCTTGTAAATAAGGTACACCATTGTACACACAGAAGACTGCCAAGAAACGTTAACAAAACCTTGTAAATAGGGTATGCCATTGTACACACAGAAGGCTGCCAACAAACATTAACAAAACCTTGTAAATAGGGTATGCCATTGTACACTGTGACACAGAAGGCTGCCAACAAACATTAACAAAACCTTGTAAATAAGGTACACCATTGTACACACAGAAGACTGCCAACAAACATTAACAAAACCTTGTAAATAAGGTACACCATTGTACACACAGAAGGCTGCCAACAAACATTAACAAAACCTTGTAAATAGGGTACACCATTGTACACACAGAAGGCTGCCAACAAACATTAATAAAACCTTGTAAATAAGGTACACCATTGTAAACACAGAAGGCTGCCAAGAAACATTAACAAATCCTTGTAAATAAGGTAAACCATTGTACACATACAAGGCTGCCAAGAAACATTAACTAAACCTTGTAAATAGGGTACGCCATTGTACACACAGAAGGCTGCCAACAAACATTAACAAAACCTTGTAAATAAGGTATGCCATTGTACACACAGAAGGCTGCCAAAAAACATTAACAAAACCTTGCAAATAAGGTATGCCATTGTAAACACAGAAGGCTGCCAAAAAACATTAACAAAACCTTGTAAATAAGGTATGCCATTGTACACACAGAAGGCTGCCAAAAAACATTAACAAAACCTCACAAGTCACAAATACATTTTTTTTTATTATTCACCAGAAAAAATACTTTATTGCAACATTCAAATCACCTGGTAAATCCATAACATAGGTAATCAGAGATTACAGAGCTCACCTCAACGAATGTTGTCTTTAAGTAAGGCAAAGTCCCACACTAAACTAATAACCTTGGAGTCTGCATCCCTAGATGCAACATTTATGCAATTTTGGTCTGATAGGGCTTGCAGTTACTTGGGAATAGACTTATCTGAAAACTTAAAACTAGTCACTCATCCAGAAAATGTAAGTCAAATCCAGCATCTGAAGCAAGTTTGAGATTGTCCGTCCCTTGATGCATCATCCATGCAAGTTTGGTTCAGATAGGCCTTATAGTTACTTGGAAATGAGATCTGCTCCAAAAACTTTAACCTGGTTACTCATCCGGAAAATGTAGGTCAGATCCAGCATCAGAAGCAAGTCCAGTAGTGTGCATCCTTAGATGTATCATCCATGCAAGTTTGGTTCAGATAGGCCTTATAGTTACTTGGAAATGAGATCTACTCCAAAAACTTTAACCTGGTTACTCATCTGGAAAATGTAGGTAAGATCCAGCATCTGAAGCAAGTCCAGTTGTGTGCATCCTTAGATGTATCATCCATGCAAGTTTGGTTCAGATAGGCCTTATAGTTACTTGGAAATGACATCTGCTCCAAAAACTTTAACCTAGTCACTCATCCGGAAAATGTAGGTCAGAACCAGCATCAGAAGTAAGTCCAGTAGTGTGCATTCTTAGATGTATCATCCATGCAAGTTTGGTCAATATAGGGTTTATAGTTACTTGGAAATGAGACCTGCTCCAAAAACTTTAACCTGCTCCAAAAACATTATCCTGGTCATTCTTTAAGTGAAATTGCAGCATCTGAAACCTTGACTGGTACAATGAAACACACTAGAAGCATCCTCCATGCATCTCTGACTAATATAGGCCATAGAAGTACTTGAAAAGAAAACTGCTCCAAAAACCTTAACCTGGGACGCCGAGGGTATTACATAAGCTCCCCCAACTTCGTTGAGGTGAGCTAATAAAAATGGAACAAATGTTGGCTAATGCTGTGTATTTACTAACTTATCAACAGTGCTTAAATGTCTTAAGTCTTTATTCCAATAATGATAGTTTTTTGTGTGTAATTTCAAGTTACAACTGTACATTCAAATGTGTATATCATTCATTATCTGGAAATGACAGTTTATCAAACACTCACCCACTGGTGTTGGCTGTGGAGTTGGTGTCAGTGTAGGGCCTGCAGAGATCAATTTGATTTATAACTTAACATTCTTGAAATAAATTAAAAACTTCAAAAAAAAAGAGGAGAACTTTTATTATTTATTTGCTGAATATATCAGAAAAGAAAACTATTCAATTTCTTTAGAGGGGCCTAGACACAGATTTGAAGTTAATATTTTCTCACATTTTCCTTACAATATCATGCCTTATATGTTGCTATAGCATTTCACACGGAAATATAATAATAACTTATTTTATCTGGAAATTAATGAAACTACAAAATTCGGGAGACGTTTGATTGACACATCCTTGCAGTATCCCAAAGTAAACTTTATCCTTCATACCTAAGAAAAATAGAAATCTTGTTGTGTATTAATGAAAAAATATTAAAACTATAGTCCAGAAAATTTAAAGTAGAAATGTGAGAAATCAAAACAATCTCATCAGTATTGTCAGTATGTGCTTTGAATTGAAGTGAAAATTGGCGCATTAAATCAATCATTGGCGGCACCAAGGTGCGCATTCAATTTTTTATCGATGTTAGTTGGCAATATTTTGCATAGGACTTTTTTACATTCATTTTAAATGAAGTCATTTTAATACAACAATTCTCATTGGTTAAAACCCATCAAAAACCGCTTCCTATTATATGAAACACAAAGAGGTACATTACCCTATCATTTCCAATGCTCAATTTTGACGATATGGATCCAAAAATTGCGGTAAATTATTTTATGAACAGGTTTCTTTAAATGTGCTGCACTGCATATGTTAAAAATTAGATTTGTTTAATAAAGAAACATGTTTTCTTTTCTATTTCATATTCATTTGTCATTTTGTTAAATCTTACATGGTCCTTCAGAATATATAGATGGCCCATTCATTTTCAAAATGGCCCATTAAAAATGTTGACAAGTGCGCCATAGTCCCATTGACCTTCATGGCCTTCCCATTCACTGCTAACAAGCTTTGAAAATTTTCAGTAATGCAATGCAGGCTGAAATTATAATCTATTTGGTAGGAGTTTGACTTACCCATTGAAGGAGTGCTTGGAGGATTGAGGAAGTCACACTTTGGTTTGTAGCAACACAGATCATTCTCATCTCGCTGTAGCTGGCACTGAGGTGGAATAATGGGGTAAGAGGGGCACCTGTTGAATTAAACAAAGTTGTTATTCAAGAAGAATAAAGTCAACAAAACAAAAATGCAAGTGTTTTAAATCCCGTAAAATATAATCAACCAACTACTATATTGAAAAGTTCCTTTACACAAACAAATAAATGTTTGTAAAATATAAGTTTTATAGATACTTCCTTTTGTAACTACAAAACACTGACCTCTGGGTACACTGGTATTTTCCATTCATGCCATCAATACACTCACAATCGTAATCACAGCCATCTTGCCACTTCTGTCCGGCTCCATAGAATTTACCCTTATAGAAACACCCTGTAAGTTAAGCATTGGTTACTCTCTCCTGATTATCTTAGTATCCAATGACCTCAGCCATCAAATACTCAACATATTTTAATATCTGAAACTACCCAAGATTATGTGCCTCTCCTCATAGCGTTTAATGTAATTTTTAAGGGTTTTTTTTGGATTTATACTTTCTTTATACTTTCACAGTGTGAATAAACTTATACATAAAAATTGACCCAAACAATGAAATCCTCAAGCCTTATTTTCTTACCTGGATTTGGTGTTGTAGGAACAATTCCACCACCTGTCACAACACCTGTAAGGTAAAAAAAAAAAACAGAATCAGTCAATGCCTTAATAAATTCTACACACATTTACCTGTCAATAGGAACCATTTTTATGTACATGACTCAAATTGAATGTAAAATGCCACTATTTAAAAGTCTGTGATGCCATTGGCTGATATCTGACTGCTGACCTGTGACCCCTGTGATGGTAATTGTGCCATTGGTTGGATTGGGTGGAACTGTGATACACTGAGGAACTTCACAACACTCTGGATCCTTAGGATCAGCCACCAGTGTACACTGTGAGGGGATACTTGTGTATGTCGTACACCTTAAAATCACAAAATGTATTACATTAGGTCCCAGCATGAACAAAAAGGTCATATCTGTTTTTCTGTCCTCGATGAAGATATCAATAGCATTGTGATGCTTAATTCAGATTTTAGTAGTACAAAATTATACTTGTCCACTTTCTATTTCCTATCTGAAATTAAGTGTCAATTCATAGTGTTTTGAATCATTTCCAAGTAATCTTAAGTGTATTTTATACAGACAATTTTCCTAAAAGTGAAAGTCCATCTATAAATAGATTATACCTGTCATCACAGCGATAGTAGCCTGACTTGGCATCTTCACAGATGCATGCCTTACTACAGCCATCAAACCATTTTTGTCCTTGTGTGTACGGTACACCATTATGGACACACATGTCTAAAACATTGACGGTGACTAAATTTAATCATCAATTTACTACAGTGTAAATGAAATAGAAGCAACAAACCTGAGATCTGACTACCTGTGGAGACCCTAAATATAACCTCACCTTTAATCTTAGGAGCTGGTGTTGGTGTACTGGTAGGCACTGGAGTCAGGGTGGGGAACAGACCTGGGGTAGGTGGAGTCACTGGGGCTGGGGTAGGGGTGTCAAAGCATTCTGGAACTTTGCAGCATGGGTCTTTTGGATCCACCACTAATCTGCAGTTGTTTGGTACATCCAGGTAGGATGGGCATCTGTTGATAGTTTACAGCCGTTTTGAATTAAGTAAAATGTTCAGAGGAAATTATTCCATAAAAATTTAGTGAACACTGTCTAAATAATAACCTTTTTTAATCAGATAATTTTGAAGTAAATACAACACAGAGAATAAAAGTTTTCACTTAAAGTTGGTATTTGATTCTTGGAGAAAACTATCATACTTAAATGCTGTTCAAATATCATATACCTTTCTTTGCACTTGTATCTGCCAATATGCATGTCTATACATTCACACAAAAGTTGACAGCCATCTTCCCATTTCTGACCTTGTCCATAGGCCACTCCATGGTAAAAACATGCACCTAGAGGAATCATAAATATTGAAGTACAAATCAATTTACAGTGCTTGTATCATATGACATAAAATCATCCATTAATATCAAAACATGTCTTGCAGTTCTCTGGATTTTCATAATAGGTTATCTTAATCATAACTAAACACAATAAAAAGACACAACTTACTTCCATTTCCACCCACTCCAATACCAGTTATCACTCCAGACACTGCTGTGGGAACAGGCTCAGGTGTGGGTGGCCTGGCTGGGGCAGGGGTGGGGAAAAGGTAAGGAGGATAGGTCAGTCCTGGGGCAGGGGTAGGCTCCAACCCCGGAGCAAATGTATAACCAGGTAATGGTGTCAGATAGGGGTATGGTGGTATTAGAGTCTGGTGTGGACCAAGTGTTTGCCCTGGTCCAAGTGTAGGCAATTTGAAAGGTGTGGGGAATACATGTGGAGCATATGTCATTCCTGGAGCCGGAGTTGGACGCATATTAGGAGCATATGTCAATCCTGGTGCAGGTGTCAGATAGATACCTGGAGGAATCAAAGTCTGACCAGGAGCAAGAGTTTGTCCAGGAGCTAGAGTTGGGGGTTTGTATGGTGTTGGGAATAATTCTGGGGCATATGTTAAACCAGGTGCAGGTGTGGGTCGGGCATTTGGAGCATATGTCATACCAGGGGCTGGTGTCAGATAAATGTGGGGTGGTATGAGGGTCTGGCCTGGTCCCAAAGTCTGACCTGGGGCAAGTGTTGGTAGTTTAAATGGTGTTGGGAATAAATATGGTGCATATGTCATGTGAGGCCCTGGGGTAGGGTGAGCATCTGGTGCATATGTAGCACCTGGATATGGAGTCAAATATATTCCTGGAGGTATCAATGTCTGCCCTGGTGCTAGTGTTTGCCCGGGAGCAAGTGTTGGAAATTTAAAAGGTGTTGGGAACACATGTGGAGCATAAGTCAAACCTGGTCCTGGAGTAGGTCTTGCATTCGGAGCATATGTTACTCCTGGAGATGGTGTCAGGTAAATTCCAGGTGGAATGAGGGTCTGACCAGGTGCTAAAGTTTGACCTGGAGCAAGTGTGGGCAACTTAAATGGTGTTGGGAATAACTCAGGGGCATATGTCATTCCAGGTGCTGGAGTAGGTCGCATGTTAGGGGCATATGTCATTCCTGGACCTGGAGTCAGATAAATGTGTGGTGGTATCAATGTTTGACCTGGTGCTAAGGTCTGTCCAGGTGCCAGCGTAGGTGGCATGTATGGGGTTGGGAACACATGTGGGGCATATGTCATGCCTGGTGCTGGTGTTGGTCTTTGGTTTGGTGCGTATGTCTGATAAGGTCCTGGTGTAAGATAAATACCAGGGGGTATCAATGTTTGTCCTGGTGCCAATGTCTGACCTGGTGCCAATGTGGGGAGCTTGTATGGAGTTGGGAACAGGTTTGGTGCATATGTTTGACCTGGTGCAGGTGTAGGCCTCATGCCAGGGGCATATGTCAATCCTGGACCTGGGGTGAGGTAGAAATGAGGTATGAGTGTCTGACCTGGAGCAAGAGTTTGTCCAGGGGCTAGAGTTGGCGGCATATATGGAGTTGGGAACACATGTGGAGCATATGTCATTCCAGGTCCTGGAGTGGGTCTCTTGTCAGGGGCATAAGTGTAACCAGGAGCTGGGGTCAAATATATACCTGGAGGAACCAAGGTCTGTCCTGGTGCTAAAGTCTGTCCTGGGGCAAGGGTAGGCAACTTAAATGGTGTGGGGAACAGATTAGGAGCATAATTCTGTCCTGGAGCTGGAGTTGGTCTCATGTTTGGAGCATAGGTCTGTCCTGGTGCTGGAGTCAAATAATAAGGTGGAATCAATGTTTGTCCTGGAGCCAGTGTCTGACCAGGGGCAAGTGTAGGTGGCATGTATGGTGTAGGGAACACATACGGGGCATATGTCAGGCCTGGAGCTGGAGTGGGTCTAGCATTTGGAGCATATGTCTGGCCAGGTGAAGGTGTCAGATAAATACCAGGTGGAATCAATGTCTGTCCAGGAGCCAGAGTTTGTCCTGGAGCAAGAGTTGGAATTTTAAATGGTGTGGGGAACACATGAGGTGCATATGTCTGTCCTGGTGCAGGGGTTGGTCTCATGTTTGGAGCGTAAGTCTGATATGGTCCTGGGGTCAGGTACATGCCTGGTGGTATCAGTGTTTGACCTGGTGCTAAGGTCTGTCCTGGGGCAAGAGTCGGTGGCATGTAAGGTGTTGGAAACACATGAGGTGCATATGTCAAACCTGGCCCAGGTGTTGGTCTCTGATTTGGTGCATAAGTCGAGAAAGGAGCTGGAGTCAGGTAGATTCCTGGGGGAATTAATGTCTGTCCAGGAGCTAGAGTTTGGCCAGGGGCAAGAGTGGGAATCTTAAATGGAGTAGGGAACAACTCTGGTCTGTAAGTTTGCCCTGGTGCTGGGGTGGGACGGGCATTAGGAGCATATGTTCTTCCTGGACCTGGGGTCAGATAGAAAGGAGGGACCAATGTTTGTCCTGGTGCAAGAGTTTGACCAGGAGCCAATGTAGGTGGCATGTACGGAGTTGGGAAAACATGTGGGGCATATGTCATTCCAGGTCCAGGTGTTGGTTGATAGCCTGGAGCATATGTCTGGTATGGACCAGGTGTTAAATAAATTCCTGGAGGAATAAGGGTCTGCCCTGGAGCCAATGTTTGCCCTGGAGCCAGAGTTGGTATCTTAAATGGTGTAGGGAAAAGGTCTGGTGCATAAGTTTGTCCAGGAGCTGGGGTAGGATGCTTATCAGGGGCATATGTCATTCCTGGGGCTGGTGTGAGGTATATATGTGGAATAAGTGTTTGTCCTGGAGCTAAGGTTTGTCCAGGTGCCAATGTTGGTGGCTTGTATGGTGTGGGGAATACATGTGGAGCATAGGTCAAACCAGGAGCTGGTGTGGGTCTAGCATTTGGTGCATAAGTTGACCCTGGTGCTGGTGTCAAATAAATGCCTGGTGGTATAAGGGTCTGACCTGGAGCCAAAGTTTGACCTGGTGCTAAAGTTGGAATTTTGAAAGGTGTTGGGAACAATTCAGGTGCATAAGTCTGTCCTGGAGCAGGAGTGGGATGAGCATTGGGAGCATAGGTCATGCCTGGAGCAGGTGTCAGATACATATGTGGTGGAACAAGGGTTTGACCTGGTGCTAACGTCTGCCCAGGAGCCAATGTTGGTGGCATATATGGAGTTGGGAAGAGATAAGGGGCATATGTTAAACCTGGGCCAGGAGTGGGTCTCTTGTCAGGAGCATAGGTCATACCTGGAGCAGGAGTTAGATAAAGTTGAGGTGGGACAAATGTCAGACCAGGATAGATTGGCTGTCCTGGTGATAGTGTTGGCAAAATTAGTGGTGTTGGGAAGACATGTGGTGCATAGGTCATACCTGGTCCAGGTGTAGGTCTAGCATTTGGTGCATAAGTCGATCCAGGTGCTGGAGTCAGATAAATTCCAGGGGGAATAAGTGTTTGGCTTGGAGCCAAGGTCTGACCAGGAGCAAGTGTAGGTATCTTGAATGGTGTAGGGAAGAGCTCTGGTGCATAAGTTTGTCCTGGCCCTGGTGTTGGTCTCTTATCTGGAGCATAGGTTAGCCCAGGAGCTGGAGTAATGTAGAAGTGTGGGATCAATGTCTGTCCAGGAGCAAGGGTTTGGCCAGGACCAAGTGTTGGTAAATAGAAAGGTGTTGGGAACAACTCTGGAGCATAGGTTAATCCAGGCCCTGGTGTTGGATGTTGGTTTGGTGCATAGGTTTGTCCTGGAGCTGGTGTGAGGTAAAACCTTGGTGGGATAAGTGTTTGTCCTGGGGCTAGTGTTTGTCCTGGTGCAAGAGTAGGCAGTTTGAATGGAGTTGGGAAGACATGTGGTGCATAGGTCATACCTGGTCCAGGTGTTGGTCTGAGATTTGGTGCATATGTGGAACCTGGTGCAGGAGTCAAATAAATACCAGGAGGAATCAATGTATGTCCAGGAGCTAAGGTTTGTCCTGGTGCAAGTGTTGGTATCTTGAAAGGAGTTGGAAATAATTCTGGTGCATATGTCTGTCCTGGAGCTGGAGTAGGTCTCATATTAGGGGCATATGTCATCCCTGGTGCTGGGGTTAGATAAATGTGTGGTGGAATTAAAGTTTGCCCAGGTCCCAGGGTTTGTCCAGGTGCCAGTGTAGGTGGCATGTATGGTGTTGGGAACACATGAGGGGCATATGTCATGCCTGGTCCAGGTGTTGGTCTCTTGTTTGGTGCATAAGTAGAGAAGGGGGCTGGGGTCAAATAGATTCCTGGAGGAATTAGTGTATGTCCTGGAGCCAGAGTTTGTCCTGGTGCAAGAGTGGGAAGTTTAAATGGCGTTGGGAAAAGATTTGGAGCATATGTCTGTCCTGGTGCAGGGGTAGGCCTCATGCCTGGAGCATATGTCAATCCTGGACCTGGGGTGAGGTAGTAGTGTGGAGGTACCAAGGTCTGACCTGGAGCAAGAGTTTGTCCAGGGGCCAAAGTTGGTGGCATATATGGAGTTGGGAACACATGTGGAGCATATGTCATTCCAGGTCCTGGAGTTGGTTGCAACCAAGGAGCATATGTCTGATATGGAGCTGGGGTCAAATACATACCTGGAGGAATTAATGTCTGTCCTGGTGCTAAAGTCTGTCCTGGGGCAAGGGTAGGCAACTTAAATGGTGTGGGGAACAGATTAGGAGCATAAGTCTGTCCTGGAGCTGGAGTTGGTCTCATGTTTGGAGCATAGGTCTGTCCTGGTGCTGGAGTCAAATAATAAGGTGGAATCAATGTTTGTCCTGGAGCCAGTGTCTGACCAGGGGCAAGTGTTGGTGGCATGTATGGTGTAGGGAACACATATGGGGCATATGTCAGGCCTGGAGCTGGAGTGGGTCTAGCATTTGGAGCATATGTCTGGCCAGGTGAAGGTGTCAGATAAATACCAGGTGGAATCAATGTCTGTCCAGGAGCCAGAGTTTGTCCTGGAGCAAGAGTTGGAATTTTAAATGGTGTGGGGAACACATGAGGTGCATATGTCTGTCCTGGTGCAGGGGTTGGTCTCATGTTTGGAGCGTAAGTCTGATATGGTCCTGGGGTCAGGTACATGCCTGGTGGTATCAGTGTTTGACCTGGTGCTAAGGTCTGTCCTGGGGCAAGAGTCGGTGGCATGTAAGGTGTTGGAAACACATGAGGTGCATATGTCAAACCTGGCCCAGGTGTTGGTCTCTGATTTGGTGCATAAGTCGAGAAAGGAGCTGGAGTCAGGTAGATTCCTGGGGGAATTAATGTCTGTCCAGGAGCTAGAGTTTGGCCAGGGGCAAGAGTGGGAATCTTGAATGGAGTAGGGAACAACTCTGGTCTGTAAGTTTGCCCTGGTGCTGGGGTGGGACGAGCATTGGGAGCATATGTTCTTCCTGGACCTGGGGTCAGGTAGAATGGAGGGACCAATGTTTGACCTGGTGCAAGAGTTTGACCAGGAGCCAATGTAGGTGGCATGTATGGTGTTGGGAAAACATGTGGGGCATATGTCATTCCAGGTCCAGGTGTTGGTTGATAGCCTGGAGCATATGTCTGGTATGGACCTGGTGTTAGATAAATTCCTGGAGGAATAAGGGTCTGCCCAGGTGCTAAGGTTTGACCTGGAGCCAGAGTTGGTGGTTTGTATGGTGTAGGGAAAAGATTTGGAGCATATGTCATCCCTGGTGCTGGGGTAGGATGCTTATCTGGGGCATATGTCATTCCTGGGGCTGGGGTTAGATAAAATTGTGGGATTAATGTTTGTCCAGGAGCCAGAGTTTGACCAGGTGCCAATGTTGGTGGCTTGTATGGTGTTGGGAACACATGAGGGGCATATGTCAGGCCTGGAGCTGGAGTGGGTCTAGCATTTGGAGCATATGTGTGGCCAGGTGAAGGTGTCAGATAGATACCAGGTGGAATTAATGTCTGTCCCGGTGCTAATGTTTGTCCAGGGGCTAGGGTTGGGATTTTGAATGGTGTTGGGAATAACTCTGGAGCATATGTTTGACCAGGTGCTGGGGTTGGTCTCTGGCCTGGAGCATATGTCATGCCAGGAGCAGGTGTCAGGTAAAATGGTGGTATAAGAGTCTGCCCTGGAGCTAAGGTTTGATTGGGTCCCAAAGTCGGCAATTTAAACGGAGTAGGGAAGACATGGGGAGCATATGTCATCCCTGGAGCTGGAGTGGGTCTGGCATTTGGAGCAAATGTCATACCTGGGGAAGGTGTCAAATAAATTCCTGGAGGAATCAACGTTTGCCCAGGTGCTAAAGTTTGTCCAGGAGCCAAAGTTGGTATTTTAAATGGTGTGGGGAATAATTCTGGGGCATATGTCAGCCCTGGCCCTGGGGTAGGATGCTTATCAGGGGCATATGTGAGACCTGGTCCTGGAGTAATGTAAAAATGTGGAGGTATAAATGTCTGGCCAGGAATAATAGGGACCCCTGGAGATGCTGTTGGGGGGACAAATGGAGATGGAGGTATGGTCTGAGGGGCTGGTGTGGGGGGAGGGGTTGGAGCACTGGTTGGACTACAGAGAGGGCGCTTGCAACAAGAATCTCTAGGATCTGTCTCCATTGGACAATCAGCAGGTAAATTATCATATCTTGGACACCTGGGCAAAAAATATGTTTCTTATCAATTTCAAAATAAAATCAGCCCTTTTATTCCATAAATTTGTGCAATCTGTAAAATACATTCTTCAGGTGTATAATAATGGTAACACTTAATATGTACATCATTGTAATCCTTTTGAAAGTTCAAATTTATTTTAATAATTATTGCTTTAAGTCTGAATATAATAAAACCTGTTCATACCTGTCATTACACCTGTAATAGCCCTTTTCTGCATCTTCACACGTACAGGTAAGATCACAACCATCAGCCCAGGATTCTCCCTCTTTGAACAAAGCCCCGTTGTACACACAGTCTGGAAGAACAATAATAAGCTCTAGGTACATGTAGTTCAGTGAATAAGGAACCAACTTACTGTATGCATTAGATTACTAATACAGAGCAGGCCTTGACTCTAATATATCAGAGAGCTTACGTGGAACAGGTTTGGGGGTGGCCCCAGAACTGGGAGCTACTGTAGTTTTGCTAGGATCACATACTTGCTTCATACAACAGGGATTCAAAATGTCTCTCTCCAAATGACAGTTGTCTGCCAGTTTGGAGTACTTAGGACATCTGAAATAAAATGCTGCAAATTACAAAGTTTGTCAAACAGATTTTAAAATAAGATTGAAAGTAAATCTATAAACTGATAACTGACTTATTGTGTATGATTAAATATTTAATGTAAACAAATCTTCTATAACCTTTCTGTGCACTGGTAGACACCTGCTTTTGCATCAACACAAACACAGTTGTAATCACATCCATCCTGCCATTTCTGATCCTGTCCATATTGCTTGCCTTTGTAGACACACACCTCTGCCAAAAACATTCATACTCTTTGACATTATGTTAAAATGAAATAAATGTGCAGCTGCCAAAAACCAGAATTATTCTTAGCATTAGAGTCAGAGCAGTAATATTAGAATATAAGCAAATAAACTGATCTTAGAGTCAATATTTTGACAACAACAAACCCGGCAATGTGGGGGCAGGAGTGGGAGTGGCTACATTGGAGCCTGGAGAGGGTGCAGCAGTGGGTTGGGGATTGGGTGCTGGGGTGGGGATCACACTTCCTCCACTAATAGTCCCAGTAACAGCCACACCATTACAGTAGGGCACCTTACAACAGATAGGGTCCTTTGTGTCAGGCTGCATTGTGCAGGAGGCAGACACTGGTGGGTAGGTTGGACATCTAAAATAAGTAGTAACAAAGTGTTTGAATCTTCTTACCGGTAATTTAAGAACAAGCACATTCAATTCATGCTCAATTTTTGGGGGAAAGATTTTTATTCATGGCAAAATTATTGTAATTTTTATTTTTGGTTAAGGAAATACCAAAATCTAGAAAAGTGGGTTTTTATCATAGTTTCTTGATTTCGTTGAGATTAGATTTAAATTAATTTCTTACAAGATAAAATTAATGTAAATTTAATTATATTTATTTTGGGGGAATTTTAATATTTTATGTTACTTCACTGAATTTTAATATAGATATGAAATATACAAAGACATGTACTGTAGATTATTTAGTATACACATAATTTGTCCGTACTGTTTGTAATTGCAGAAATCATGCTTGTTGTTTGTAATGCCTGAAAAGGCCCTGATTTGGAAATAAAGAATCTATCTATCTATACATTTAGGGAGAGTGCAAAAATATGGGTGGCTGCAAAGAAAACTGCATAATAAATATGTGTTTAGCAACAGTACAGTGTATATCCTGTACAAACTGTTTAGAAATTTCTATAATGTTTTTGAGTATCCTATGCCCTTAATAAATATCAACATGTACCTAAAGTCAAAAATAAAATTGAAACAAAACAAGAATATTGTTACCTTTGGCTACACCTGTACACTCCCTTGATACCATCTTCACAAATACAGGAGAAATCACAACCATCATACCACTTCTGTCCCTGTGTGTATGTCTTACCCTTGTATTTACAGACATCTAAAGAAATACAAGAGGCCAAATGAGCCACAATAATCAATACTCACTAGTCACAGATTCAAAATTTTGCATGGCTCAAAATATTATTTGTCAACATTTGGTATATCATTTATTTGGTATATATATTATTTGTCAACATTTGGTATATCAACATTACTTCACATCTATGGACAACAGAAAAACATTTGAAAACTTATATTACAAATCTCACTTGAGGAATCTTTCATTCTGATATTTTATTATTTTATTTTAAAGTGCATCCTCATAAGACTTAATGCACAGTTTAAGGAATTCCTAAACATTGATTTCACTTCCAGTTTTTGGGGTAATCTCTCTAGAATTTTAACACTCCTTTGCTCATTCCTGTTCATACTGTATAATGAATATTTTCTGCCATGGGAATTTTTTGTGATTTGACCCAAATTATTAGCAAATAAATTTTTGCATTTTTAATGTCTGTGGTTGCATGTTACTGCTGAAATTTATTTACGGGACATGACTACCAGATTCAAAGGATTTGGCAGAACACTGCCACGTTTTACGTAGTATTAAAGTCATATAATAAGATGAACCACATGCAATAGTACTGATACTACATGTTAGTCCTTATAAATTTTTATTTCATAACCCCCTAAGCATATTTCTTTTTTAGAATGTAGAATAAGCGATTATGAAATGATATTAAACAAGAGGCCCAAGGGCCTTAACGGTCACCTGAGTATAAAACAACAATCCATAGAAGATCCACAGAGTATAAAATAAACTGACAGAAGGAGCTTTTGTAAATATTTGATCATCCATTGTGGTCCCACCCAATCCCTAGAGTCCAGAATCATGATTTGAACAAACTTGAATCTATACTACCTGATGTTTCCATGTAAATATAACCAATCATGGCTTTGCTGTTCCTGAGAAAAAGATTTTAAAAGATTTTTCCTATACATTTCTATGTAAAACTTTGATCGTCCATTGTGGCCCCGCCCTACCCCCAGGGGGGGTCATGATTTGAACAAACTTGAGTCTACACTACCTGAGCATGCTTCCAAATAAATATGACTCATCACAACTATGCTGTTCTTGAGAAAAAGATTTTTCCTATATATTTCTATGTAAACTTTGATCATCCATTGTGGCCCCGCCCTACCCCCGGGGGTCATGATTTGAACAAACTTGAATCTACACTACCTGAGGATTCTTCCATATAAATATGACTCATCACAACTTTGCTGTTCTTGAGAAGAAGATTTTTAAAGATTTTTCCTATATATTTCTATGTAAACTTTGATCATCCATTGTATCATATACCTGGGTGTCATGATTTGAACAAACTTGAATCTACACTACCTGAGGATGCTTCCATATAAATATGACCAATCAGGGCTTAGCTGTTCCTGAGAAGAAGATTTTTAAAGATTTTTCCTATATATCTCTATGTAAAACTTTGAGCATCCATTGTGGCCCCACCCTACCCCTGGGGGTCATGATTTTAACAAACTTAAGTCTACACAACCTGAGGATGTTTCCATATACCCGGTACGTTTCATCTTACCTGGTCCAGTGGTTCTTGAGAAGAAGATTTTTAAAAGATACCATTAATTTTTCACTAATTCTTAATTATCTCCCCTTGGAAGAAGGTGTGGCCCTTCATTTGAACAAACTTGAATCATCTTTACCCAAGGATAGTTTGTGGCAAGTTTGTGACTCAGGTGACCTAAAAATAAGGTTGACTAACATACTCCCCACTTATAAAAGACTTGCATGTATAGAACATCTGAATTAATATTTCAGGAATATTTTGAGATTGCAATTTTTGCAGATTACTGCAAAAAATGGACAACTACAGAAAATATCTCTGGTATGGTATTTGCTAGACAGTCTATTGTATATAAAAACACATATACAGTGTGTATAAAGTCATATAAATTTAACAAAATACAAACCTTTTGGTTGTGGTGCCTGGGTTGGTAGCTGGGGTCCAGGTGTGGGTCCTCCCGGTAAGCCTGGAGTGGGAGGGGAAGCTGGACTGGGGGCTAGAGTAGGGTTAGAGTCACACTGGGGCACTTTACAGCATGGATTGGAGGGATCTTTTGTCAAGATGCATCCTGCTGGCAAATTCAGGTATTTTCGGCACCTTGAAAATAAAAAGCCCTAATAAGTTTTTTTTATGCAAAAGTCTTGTCTCTAAACTCCTGCCTGGTGTCTGACAACAAACCGCAATATGTATTTTTTTTATTTTGGCAAATAATTGTTATTTGTTTAATAGAATAAAAATTACAGAGATGATCAAACAAATATTACACATCATGACAAATAGCCACATTCTATATAGTATACATCCAAGGAGTAACATTTTTGTAAAATAAAAATTAAATATCGTAACTATTAACGTGTGAGCATTGTCTTCAATGTTTATATCCTGTTAAATAATTTTGCATGAGGTACTCAATTAAATTTCAAGTGAAATTTATATGCATGTACTTCCATGAATAATTTGACCCCGCTTAAAGTACCATTGAGTCAAAGAAAATTTTTAAAGTTGTCTCTATGGACATTCATTATCTTGTGTAAATTTTCTTTCCCTCATTTCATGTTTCGTATGATAATAAAGAATATGCCTGCTTACTTTTCTGTGCATTCATATTTGCCCATGGCGGCATCAACACATTTACAATTGTAATCACAGCCATCCTCCCACGTCTGGTTCTGTATGTATCTCATGCCCTTATACTCACAAAAATCTATAAATACATCACATATTTTTAAATTCTGATGCCTTTTTACTGTATTCAATTTTTAAAAAAATGGCTATTTTATCAATGCTGTAAAAAAAATCGCTGAAAAGTAATACATGTAATATTTAACACAAATGCTACATAAATAATCTAAAAGTCAAACAAACTTATTTTATGTCATCAGACTTACTGAAGAGTTTTGGGGCCAGTGTGGGGCCACCTGGAATTGGAGCCAGGGTGGGGACATTTATGATACCACTTATGACCCCTGGGGCAGCAGTGGGGATCTTGTTGGGGTCAGTGATGTTACATTTTGGAGCCAAACAGCATGGATCATCTGGATCAGATGCAAGCTTACAACCAACTGGGATGTTATCATATTTAGGGCACCTGTCATTAAAATGATGTCAACAGTATATACCCAATCTTGTCTTCTTATATACATGTATAATGGAGGGAAATAACTAGTACATGTAAGAAGAACAAATATCAGACTCTGGTTTATATATAGTTCATTAATCATGAGAAACTTCATGTATTGTGAACACAGAAATTTATGCGTGAAGGTTACATAAGGTAAATATGCAGTAAGTTATCCCCATTTACCAATAAATTTCAATATAATTACTTATAATACAGATTATCAGAGAAAATCCTTGCACATAAATGTTTTTGTATTCCTAAGATAAACAATGCAAAACTATAAATAATTTACGGTATTTAATCAACTAAATATGGAGCAATATTTACTACTAGTAATATTATTTCGATCATAACTGTTTATTTATGACAATTATTAAACAGAAGAGGAATGAATACCTATCATTACAGATGTAGAGTCCTCGGGAGGCATCATCACACCTACATCTAAACTGACATCCATCGTCCCAAGTCTGACCTTGCACGTAAGAGGCACCCAGGTACACACAATATCCTGTAATTATTGTCTTAGATTTTAAGGTATTCATTTTCTGAATATGAAAAAAAAACTAATTAAAAATATTTTAAAACAAATTTCCTTCATGCCCACTTTAGTTTTGACATTGAATCAGAAACGTAGGTGGTGATTCTCTTTAAAGATTCATTTCTTCATTATTGCCTTTTCTTTCAATGTCCATATACATGTAAATATAATTGTTCATAGTGACAAACCTTTGCACTTTTCTTGTATACTTGAAACTTGCAAAGGCATGTCACATGCAAGGAAAGTTTGATTAAAATATTATTCCTTGTAGGTATATACAGCATGTTTTCATTATTAGGATACTGACAATGATGCACAAGACATCAAAGTCAATATCTGAGAAGCTTTTGTATATTTAGCTTACTCTGATCTGGAGCCAGTGTTGGGATACTGTCTGGCTTGCTGGTAGGTCCCGTTCCTGAGATGCTGGCTGTGGTGGCGGTGAAGTCACATCGTGGCTTTTTACAGCAAGGATTTGTAAAATCACTGACCAGCTGACAATTGGGAGGCAAGTCTGTGTATTTAGGGCACCTATTGTCAA